AAACCGTGATACAAACCGAACCGTGAGTAAGTTGAAATGTTCCACCCCTAATACGCAGAGGCAAGTTTTTTACATTTACTTGTTTAACACGTGACAGCAATTCAACACAAAAAGCAAGCTGATAAAGTCAAGATGTTTAGCTGTTTTTCGACCAAACTGAAAGGGGAATAAATGTGATACAAGCCACTTTGTGGTATGATTGCTGGTGTTGTACTGGACACAGCAGGCTAGAAACAGCGAGAGGTTCTCTGGCCAAAAACACCTTGTTAAAGGAAATGTCTAGAGGAAAATGTCATTCAAACTGACACTCTTTATAACAGTTCTGTGCAGAAGAGCATCTCTGAAGCTTCATGGTGTTGGAGAATAATGCGCTTATACAATCCCACCTCATGTCAATGGTACAAGCTGCTGGTGGTGTATTAGTACAGGAACCCTTAAATACAAACAGTGCTCTATTTAGATGCTGTAGTGTATGGGCATTGTTACTGACCATCTGTATCCCTATATAGCCACAGTCTACCCATTTGAAATGAATAGCCTACTTCCACTGGGACAATGCACCATGTCACAGAGCATTAATCATCTCCACCTTGTTCTATTGTGGGAATAGCCTGTGACTTCAGCTTGTTCCAATGACAACACGGTCCCCTGATCTCAATCCAATAGAGCACCTTTGGGGTGAACTGAAATGGGAGGTTCATGCAGCCTGTAAATGGGCAGAGGCTGTGTGATTGTATTGAGTTAACCTGGCTAGAACCGCTGAGGAATTCTTCCAGCATGGTCTGCTGAATCCTTGCCACAAACAATTCAACAGCTCTGGAGGCAAAGCAGTGTGCTGATCTGTACTACACAGGTGTACCTAACAATGGACATTGAGATATAGCTAGTGATACATGTATTTAATATATTCAATTTAACAGAGGAGCTGACATGACATTTTTAGCCGTGACAGCAGAGCACTGAGATAAAACTGAGATAAAAAAAAAATTCTGGATTCTTTGGTCAATAGATAGTCTCTGCCTCAGGCGTCATGCCCACAGACTGCTGGCTGAACATCTGATGCATGAGGCACACAAAATCAGAAGCACCTCGGGAGTTTTGAAGTCTGATTGGATTGGTTGAATTCTATAGGAATTCCAGGAGATGTGTGTGTCGCTTTCTTTAACAGTTCACCGTCATGACTCCAAACCTCCTCATGGAAGAAGAAAATCATCGTTTTTACAACTGAAACAAATATTTTGTAATAACCTAAAAAGTTTTTACTGCTACTTTTTAAAAAATCGAATGCATCCTTGATACTGCTGAATAAAAGCATTTAAAAAAAAATTACCCCAAACTATTAAATGGCAGCATATAGGCTTAATATCTATAACCTTATTGCACAAAAGTTCACACACAAAAAAATGATGCCGTATAATACATTTTAGGCAAATTGCTCACAGCAGGCAATGGCAATGGTGCTTTAAAGAGAATGAACTTCTCAACCTACTAGGAAAAAGCAGAGCTCCAGGAACAGGCCTGGCGGGATCAGCAGCAAGAAATGACCCTGGTGAGCTGAACTTCTGTCTAGCACCTTAAGACACAATAAAGACTCAGTATAAGTGAACAGGTCCCAGTTGGTACAGGACAGAACACTACATTGATCGCTTCTTCCTTTCTTAGGAGGGTCAACCAGGATCATGATTGCTCCAGGAAAACTGACAGGAAGAGAGTCTGAGGCACTTGTTGTCAAGCAGTCCTGAGGCAAGCTCAGAGGACACAAGTCTCTCATAGAGCAGAGACGTAAAGCCTCACTTGATCATGATTCTCAGTACAGATGTTAACTTTGATAAAGGGCTCTCATCATCACACTGGCTTTCAGCGTTTAAGCAGTTCAGAAGTTAGCAAGAAGGCAACTGGTTGGTTGCAGCCCAGCTCATGACAAAACTGCTTCTTCTTATCGAGCACTGAAAGCCACCGTGGGCTGCTTAATAAATGTCAATGTGACCTCAAGTCTAATAGGCACTTTAGTATGTACTTGTACAGTGATATTCTGACTACTCAAGGGATAATTCACCCAAAATGCACTTACTTACTCACCATCATGCCACTCGTTTTTGCCTAAAAAATGAAAGTTAGTGGGGGTCAAAACAACAATTGACTTGCATTGACAAAAAACACCAAAACATTCTTCATAATACCTTCTTTTTAAGAAAGAAAGATCATACGGTTTTGGAATGACATGAGGGTGAATAAATACTTTTTTTAATAAACTACTCCTTATAGTAGTGCTATCATGGACAATAGGAAGTAATATTTGAGGACTATTTGAATTTTGCGGTCTATAAACAAATTCATTAAGTGGTGAAGACAATCAGAAGTAAAAACCTGCATTTACGTTTCATATAATTCAGTCCTAGGCTCAAACATGGCGTCTCATTTCGCCTCTCCCTTCATCTGATTCTCTTACCTCATCGACTCACGATGAGATCAAAGCAGCCTCCCTCGATAATGTGCGCAGAGGGAAGAGTTTTTGATCAAAATGCAAACTTATTCAAATTCAGGTTCGTTCAAATGTGCTATGTTTTACACTCTGAGTGACAGCTGGATGACGAGCTAGGACCAG